GCCGTGGTCGCGGTGGTCCGAGCGGTGACCTGGCTGCTGCTCTGGGAGGCAGCTGAGCTCGCCTGCAAGTCCTCCGCGGCCCTCGCTGCCGCCCACACCGATGCGGGTAAAGGGAGGGGCGTGGCTGCGGGTTTGAGGTTGAGGGGTGGCAGCAGCTCGGACTCTGGGGGTCCTCTCCCCTGAGCGGTTTGCGGAGGTGCTTCTCTGTATCCCGGCGCCTCGGACTGTGGGGTGAGCTGGGGGAGGCTAAGCACAAAGGCCACGTGCCTCTTCTCTCTGGGGCTCCGCCTGCCACTCGCATGGCTCTCTGGACGTGGGGAGTCCGGCTCTGTTCTGGCCACACAGTCACTGAAATATTGTGAAGGAAGTGCAGCGATGAAGCGTCTTGGGATGCATGCAGCTTCTTGCACCAACAAGGAGCCGGCAAGGCCCCCTTGCCTGTGAAGTGTGAGAACCGCAGTCCTGAATACAGAGACGCCGGGGGCGTGGGAAGAGGACGGCGTCGTACAAATACTTTAATAGTAGACTGGATTGCGCTGGGGTTTCTTGATGACTCTGGTTTAGGCAAGCGCGTTGGTTCATTTCTTTGGGCCCCAGTCCATGGGCTGGAGTGCTGTGCTGTGCTGTGTGTTGTGGATCGAGCCCTGAGCTAAAAACACGCTGCCCTGACCCTCGTGGAGCTTTCAGTGGGTTGGGGAAGACATTGCACTGGTGATCCTATATAATAAAAGCCTAATATGCAAATCGACTGAACGGGCAGAAGGACCCTATGATGCACACTGACCACCAGCGGGTAGAGTAGACACTCAACAGAGGAGCTGCCCCCAGCCCGCAGGCCCCAGGCCAGCCAAGGCAGCGGGGAGGCGGGGAATTGAACCCAAAACCTTTTGGTTTATGAGACAGTGCTTCCAACTGAGCCACCCAGCCAGGAAAATGGCAGTAATTTTGACTGCCTGTTTTGCTAAGGTTGTGAAACTCATGTGAAAGCCCCAAGTAAAGGATCTATCATATAGGTATTAGTTAATAAATGTTAGTTTTTCATACTTTTCCCTTCTGTTGTATATTTCAGATGTTTTCATCTCTAGGACATGCTTTTTCATGCATCTTTTCAGGGATATATATATAATGGACCTAGCAACATAGAATACAATATGGTTTTCATGTGTTTATTTTAATGTTCTTCCTACACACTGCCAGCTTTTGAAAATGAAATAAAATTATATAGCAAGGCACTTGGCAGAGTTGGTGATCTGATCATTAGTTATGATGCTCACATTAAGTAATAGTTTTAATGTCTGAATGTCAATGTTCTTAATTCCCATGAGTCTGTATAGTGAGATTTCTGGTTATTCTAAGTTTATAAAAGAACCTTTTGAAAAGACTCTAGCCCTGGACAGTTTGGTTCAGTGGTCAGAGCATCAGACCTTTGGACCAAAGGGTCAATTCCCAATAAAGGGCACGTACTACATCAAGGGCACGGTTGGGGTACGTGCAAGAAGCAACCAATTGATGTGTCTCTCTCATAGATGTTTATCTTTCTCTTTCTCTTTCCTCCTCCTCCCTCCCTCCTTCCTACTCTCTCTAAAAGTCAGTGGAGGCCTGACCGGTATTCTCAGTGGTTGAGCATTGACCGATGAACTAGGAGGTCACAGTTTGACGGGGCACATGCCCAGGTTGCCGGCTCCATCCCCAGTGTGGGGCGTGCAGGAGGCAGCCGATCAATGATTCTCTCTCATTGTTGATGTTTCTCTCTCTCTCTCCCTCTCCCTTCCTCTCTGAAATCAATAAAGATATATTTAAAAAATTTGTAAAAAAGTCAATAGAAAAAATATTCTTGGGTGAAGATTAAAAAAAAAGACTCGTTTTTATTTTTGTTATTTTAAACCCTTCTAACATCTCCACAAGGCAAATGTACTGTCTTCTCAGTTTTATAGGTAGCTGGAATTAAAACAGATTTTCTGCCCTTGCTGGTGTGGCTCAGTTGGTTGGAGTGTTATCCCTTACACTAAAAGATCACCTGAAAAGATCACCTGAATAAAGTAATATTAATAACAAACACATATAGCACTATATGGTAGGACCTATTCTAACTACTTCATACTAAGTGTACCGGTTAATAAATGGTGGATTTTGTAATCAAAGAAAACATGATAATTTCAAGAGAAACATCAAAAGTGCGTTATTAAAAGTAATGTCCATCACTAGCTACACATTTCCCCCACCTTCCAGGTAATTTCTGGATACCGTCCCAATAGAACTTTTGTTTTGAGGCAAAACATTCAGAGACCCAATTTTCCACTTCTTCGTACGTTTTGAAGTGCTGCTCAGAAAGTGTGTGTGCCATTGATCAGAACAAGTGGTAATCTGAAGGAGCAAGGTCTGGTGAATACAGCTGGTGGGTTGATACTTCCCAGGCAAGATCTTTTAACGTGTTTTTAACTGGTTTTGAAGTGTGTAATGGTGCGTTATCATGAAGCAACATTACTTTGCTGTGTCTTCCAGAACATTCTGGTCGTTTCACGATCAAAGTGTGGTTCAAATTGATTATTTGTTGTTGGTAGTGATCAGTATTAACAGTTTCACCTGGTTTTAGAAGCTCATAATACACCACACCTTCCTGATCCCACCAAACGCAGAGCATTGTCTTCTTTCCGAAGCAATTTGGCCTTGCAGTCAATGTTGATGGTTGATTTGGATCAACCCATGATTTTGTGCATTTGGGATTCTCAAAATAAATCCACTTTTCGTCGCCAGTCACAACTCAATGCAAAAAAAGACTTTCTTTCGTGCCATTGAAACAACATTTTACTGATGACTTTTTGGTTTTCCATTTATCTTTCATTCAGTTGATGTGGCACACATTTTCCTTCCTTTAAAATCTTTCCCATTGCTTGTGAATGATCAGAAATTGTTTGCTGAGCAACGTTTAATCTTTCTGCAAGTTGTTTTTGAGTTTGACACGCATCTTCATCCAACAATGCTTGTAATTGTTGATCTTCAAACTTTTTCAGTTGACCCGGACGTTCTTTGTCTTTCACATCGAAACCATCACTTTTAAAGCGTTTAAACCAGCGTTCACAAGTATCTTGAGATGGAGCGTGTTCACCATAAGCTTCCCAAAGCTTTCAGCAGCACTTTTCCTTCAAAATAAAGTAATGAATTAAAACTTCCCGCAAATGCTCTTTTTTTTGGGCATGAAATTTGACATTTTTAAGCATAAAAATATCTATGATGTTAACACCTTCAGCAAATTTGACATAAGTTTTGAAGCTTGCTGTCAATACAACGAAATAGCATACATATCAAATCGCATATATATCAACATATGTGAAACTCCATCTATTGAAAAAAATCCGCATTATTAACTGGTACACCTAGTATATTAAGTCTCATGACAACTAGCAGAGCAATAAACTATCTTATGTAAAGTCATATAGCTATTAAGTGACAGACAGGGTTTTGAAGGTAGGCGATCTAATTCCAAAGTCAATGTTCTTAATTCTCATGCTATACTAGAAGTAGATTTATATATAGCTCAACTTGCTTAAGTTTTAGAGTTTTTGTTTTCATTTTTAGGTTGGTTAGATTCTCCAGGCAAGTAAAGCCTATTAAAACAATTATTTTCTAATTATATAAGTATTCTTTCATTGAGTGCTTGTTTTATTAAAAATCAAATCTTTTGGTTCTTATAGGCATAAAGGCCAGTTGTTCTGAAATTATTTTGCGGCAAGAAATTTTGAAAGATGGTTTCCACAGGTAAGTTGCCTGTTGACTTTTACTTGTATCAAAGTACTGTTTCATATATTTTAGAGCAAAAAATTAATAGTTGAAAAATGGATAAAACTGAAAAAAAAATCACTTGATTTCTTCCAGTCATAAGTAGCAGATTTATTATAATGTGGTTACAGTTTGAAATAATGATTAACCCATTGTACACCATAAGCGTCTGTAGACACAAGTGGCTGACCTTCCCCATACGCCACACGCATCTATTAAAGAAAAATTTTTTCCCTAAGTGGCAAACCTGACCAACTTTAGAATCAGTTTTCTTGAGAATTTTCAGCTGAAAATATTAAAGAACACCTGAATTGTAATATATATTTTATTGATTTTTTACAGAGAGGAAGGGAGAGGGTTAGAGAGTTAGAAACATCGATAAGAGAGAAACATCGATCATCTGCCTCCTGCACACTCCCTACTGGGGATGTGCCCACAACCAAAGTACATGCCCTTGACTGGAATCGAACCTGGGACCCTTGAGTCCGCAGGCTGGCGCTCTATCCACTGAGCCAAACCGATTAGGGCGTAATATATTTATTTTTATAATATTCATTGCAAATTGATTTTTTAAAGTAAATTCAAAATATCGTTGCGTGTGGGGATGGTTTCTGTTTTGGACGCATTATTGGTAGTTAACAGGTTAAAAATAACTGGAGAAGATGCCCAACTGGCATGACTCAGTGGTTGAACATCGACCTATGAACCAAGAGGTCACGGTTCCATTTCCAGTCAGGACACATGCCCGGATTTTGGGTTCGATCCCAACATCATTGATGTTTCTATCTCTCTCTCCCTCTCCCTTCCTCTCTGAAATCAATGAAAATATATATAATAAAAAAATAACTGGAGAAGAGGGGAAAACAAATGTTTACCATTTAACATATTTAGAAGTTGTATATATGTAA